GCGGAACTCCCGGGCAGGGAAAGTTCTCGACTTATGACCGGTTGGGTAGTCCTCGACTTACGACCGGGTTAGTCCTTGACTTACGACCGGTTTAGTCCTTGACTTACGACCGGTTTAGTCCTCGACTTACGACCGGTTGGGGGTCGCGGCATTAAAAAGGTTGAGAACCACTGTGTTAATGAGAGGTACACAATGGTATTGTTTGCTAAGGAACATCTGATGCAAAGTAGCTGAGAATTTTCTCTGCTCCACTTCTTGAAACATGGAATTCCCTCTTTGAGAAGCACATCTGTATTCTTCTACCCTTCTTTTCTGGCATTTGAAAGCAATTCTTTTCCAAGAATGCTTTAATTTACTGGCTTTTAAATTTGATGATTTTTTTCTGTCTCCTGCTTATGTTTTTTTTGTCTTGGTCTACTTGGTTTATTTAATGATTAGCTTAGGTGAAAATAGTTTTTCTCTAACTTGGTACAGGTAGTCCTCAACATACGATTACAATTGACCCCAAAATTTCCATTGTTAAGCAAGAAAGCTGTTGAGTTTTACCTCATTTTACAATCTTTCTTGCCACAATTGTTGAATGAATCGTTTCAATAGGTTAGTAACATAGTTGTTAAGTGAATCTGGCTTTCCCAGTGACTTTGCTTGTCAGAGGGTCGTAAAAGGAGATCATACTACCCTGGGACTCTGCAACCGTCATAAATACATGCCAGTTCCCAAGTGTCCGGAATTTGATCACATGACCACAGGGATGTTGCAATAGTTATAAGTGTGAAAAATGGGCATAAGTCACTTTTTTTTGAAGGGTTGTAACTTTGAATGGTCACTAAATGAATGCTTGTAAGTCGAGGACTACCTGTATGTTGTGTTGTATGGCAAAAGTACAATTTGTGGTATATAGGAACAGATGGCATTGAGAAAAAGAAGAAAATAAAGCATACAAGTACATTACGGCTTTTCTACTCTAGAAAAGCATAGCATAGTTTTTTTTGTTTTTTGTTTGTAAAAGACAAGAACATGTGTCAAAATCTGCCAAGATTCTGTATTGCTAAAATCAGAATAAAGTATTCACCAAATCCAAAGTGTAAAAACTGCTGTGCTTCAGCATTTCCTGACTTAGCCCTTGTCTCTCCAGAAATGTTTGTACTATTTAGAACAGGGTCAGTTTGTTTGCAAATTTACTATGAAAGATGAATTGTACAAAAGTTCTTATGTCTTAAAGTCAGCAAAGAATCCCCCCCCCTTTTTTGTGGAATAACTGCAGTCTAATTGCAAGGATTTTCACAAATGTGTTACTTGAAAGGAACATGCATAATCGTTGCAATCTTTGTGCCAGTTTTAATTGAGTTGCCATACAATGATAATAGCTACATTATATCAACAGAAGAACCACTTGATAGAAATGTGTAATGGTTTTCCAGCAGTTAAAGCAGAATTGTCCTAATTTATTTTTAGCCAGAGGAAATAAGCAATGTATCTTTGTATTTAATTAAAGCTGCGGTTGTAACATTTGCCAGCTGCAGAAACATTTCTGTAATCTGCCTCACCTAGCTAATGTTTTTGTTAAAGATTAAAAAAAAGAAGAAACAAAAAGCGTTCATAATTTGTAGTGGTCTATGGCAATTAGAAAGCAACATGAAATAAGTAATGAAGACTCTTTTCATTACGATAGTCTTCATAAATCAGTTTTGTAATGCCTTCACAAAGCAGATACTGGCATTTATTTTATAGCAAGGATGAGTCATAAAATATTTATGATCTTTTAAAAAAAATAATAATGAGGACTGCACATAAACAGATGGTGGGCGCATGCCAGGATGGGGAGGGATTCTGTGACCTTATAATATATCGTCTTTGTGACAAAATTCATAACATCTTTGTTTTGTATACATACATTAACCTTTAGAACTGCTGTGAATAGGAAGGCATTGACTACTACCACTGGGTCTAATTAAAAGGGAAATTAATTGTTTAACCTTATTTGTTATATTTACAGCCTCCCCTATTTTGTAACCCAGGGTATCTTCCCAGGGTTTAAGAATCAAAACATTTTAACAAAATGAAAAAACAATTCAGAAAGTTTTCAAAAGCTAAGAAACTACAGCAGGTATTAAGTATGCTAAATAGAACAGAATAGAATAGAATTCTTTATTGGCCAAGTGTGATTGGACACACACAAGAAATTTGTCTCCGGTGCATAAACTCTCACTGTACATTAAAGCAAAAAATGATAAATCATGATCATAAACATAATACAATCATCATAAATCATAAGATACAACACTCAGTGAGAGTCATAAGATACTGAATAAAAGCAATCAATATAAATCCTAAAATACAAACAACAAAGCTGATAGACATAAGATGCTAAAGGAATAGATAATAGGAAAGATGAGAAGGATAATAGTAATAATACAGCCCTACTACATGGTTTGATATCCTAAAACAATGTTGTGGGAATTATGGTCTCCATGCAGCTTTGATGTCATCAGTGACCTAGGCAGGAGAAAAACATGCTATAGTCAGAAGCTCTGATCGTGGCACATCTTGTCCGGAAACCAGCATATGAGTTTGTGTCCCAAAGTTTTCTAGACACAGATCAAAATAGCTGGTTTTTATGTAACAAGTATCAAATAACTACGATAGGACCTCCTATACCTAATTTTCTACATAAATCTTTTAAAATGGTGTGAGGGCATACTCTTGGTTATATCCAGCAGCCTGCAAGCAAAGTTTCAGCAGCGAAGACACAGCCTTAGTTACTGTCTCATTCTTACCTAGCACTTTTTTTTCCCTTAGGGGTTGACCAGATTCATAAGCCAGATCATTTTTCCTTTGGGGTTTGACATTCATCAGTTTATGTTAAACAGCTTACCTTAAAAGGAGGTAATTGGCTAATTAATTCCATTTTAATTAGCATCTGATTTTGTTTGTGTCATTAAAAAAAGTTGTCACCTGCTCCAAACCCTAGAGATAGAGTGCAACTAGCCAAGATCTAATGTGGTCTCTGCAGAATTTTGTGAAGGGAGAGCAATTCCTTAGCATTTCAGGAATCTCTTTTTCACTCTTTTCTACCCCATTCAGACTAGTATGAACAGATGCCTTAATGATATCTATCTGTAATAGCAGAGTTTGCATTTTCTTCACCTGCTTTGTTTCTCTTATCTACTTTTAAAAGGCAGAATGGAATTAAAAAACACTTTAGGGGGCCTGATGAAGGAGCGTTGGGTTAAAAATGGAAAAAATAATTATTTACCTTTTATGGTAAAAAGGTTGACAGTTTGAAGAGGCAACAATTGTTCTGTGTGTATGTCTTTCCCAAGGAGACAAACTAGAATCTTTCTTTCTTTCTTTCTTTCTTTCTTTCTTTCTTTCTTTCTTTCTTTCTTTCTTTCTTTCTTTCTTTCTTTCTTTCTTTCTTTCTTTCTTTCTTTCTCTCTCTCTCTCTCTCTCCCTCTCTCTCTCCCCCCATCTCTCCCTCCCTCCCTTCTTTCCATAATATGAGAAAAATGTCAGTTTGCAAAGTGAAGCTCACTTCAGAGAGTTGTCTTTAAAATTACTGAGATGAGAAATAAATGTTCTGTAGGGTACAAATAATTCACATCAGCCTAAACTCAAGAATAATGCTGGAGTTCCCATTTTTGGTGATTAATCAGAATATAATAAAATTAATGTTCACTTTTTAATGGGGTTTTAGAGAGATTAATTTGCTTTCCAGCATGAATTACTAATTGGTTCCCTATTCTTTTATACTTATATCCTGTCTTCCATTATGCAATTTCACGTAGAATCCATGAAGTTTCCAGCCACTGTTTTGTTCACTATTGACATGAATGTAATTCCTGAATTTCAACAAGGATGCTGCTAAATCCACTCTATTAGACCTTACTAATTCCTCTCTTTTGAAGAATACCTGTGAAACTGGATTATGATGATGATTTCATATATTTTGATGTCCCTTCCTATATAAAAATTTCCAAACATGGTAAAAAAAAGAAAAGAAAACTAAAATACTGTAATCACAACAAAATCTTTCAGCCCATATTCCTATTGAGAAAGCCTGGATGAAGAGAAAGATATTCAACAGGCATCCAAATCATCTTATGAGAAGCATCTCACAAATCTGAGGAAGGACCAGTGTCAAGGTTAGGTACCACCATAGAGGAAAGCTATATACAATTGGTTACTCTGTGGTTCAGATCACATGCAGTAAGACCTTCCCCTGGACCCAAATTGTTCAGGGTCTTCTATGCCATAAGCAAAAGCTTAAACTCGACTTGCTAGTTAATTAACAACCAATGCAGTTGCTTCAAAAAAGGTGTAATTTGTATAAGCACTCAATTCGCTAGCCAACTCATCACAGTCTGCACAATTGAACGGTTGTCCCATTCGAAGTGCAATATAATCTAAGGGTAAGTTTCCAATGTATCGACAATAATTAGACTATTCCTGAAAGGATACAGTTGATATATCGGTCAAAGATGGTAATTGGCAATCCTAATCAGAGATTAGTTGTACCTTTAATTTTGACGATAGTGCAGGAGTAACACTTAAAATACCAAGTTTGTATTGATTTGTAATTAAGAGATTTTTTTTCTGATTTTCTCTGTTGCGCGACTTTTAAATCTCTGTCATGGTTTGTCTTGGCGAACATGCAACAAAATATGTGTTTATTATAAATGACAGTAACCAGATTTCTTTATAGCCAGGAGTTTAAACGCACTACAAGGAGTGATAATTTTTATAAGAAGAATTTACAAACCTGCTTGTCTTTCATTTGATTTGTTTCAAACAGGAATACATTACATTCTAGTTAGACCAAATAACCAATCCATTATTTTGTTCCTGTTAGTTGGTGAATAAAGAAAAAACTTGTTTTTTGTGTGTGTATGTTTACTCAAAGTAGATAGAGGGAAGAAGGAGAGTATTATCAATGCAGTGAATTTGTGATTCGATGTTGTGGTTTTACATTTATTTCTTTATCTTTCTTTTTTTTTTAGATGAATGAATTTCGGAACAAAATGCAGTCATTCTTTCCATCAGTTAAAAAAACTGCAGTAAATTCTGTTGAATGGGAGGATATTTGGAAATCTAAGTGAACGTCATATGGAGGAATTTGTACTAAGCCTTACAAAACCACAGAGGAATTAAAATATTCGTATTCATAATGGCAGGCAGTCAGTAGTATCAGCACATGCCCCCTTACTTTTTCAGGCAAAAGTAAAATTTGCTTTTAGTAGTTTTCACTTTAGTGATGATAAGTGCAGAAAGAGATTAAAATGAGCATGAAGCTTAGTTTGAAAATGCATGCTCAATATGTGGTAATAAAACAAAGAAATTAACCCTAAAGAAGACATGAATTGTTGACCAAGTTAATGGGTAATAGTATCCGTATCCTGTTCCCTCCATCACAGTGATTCATAGCGGTTTTTAAAAGATGGTATATAAACTACTAAAGCAGACTGAACAATGCTTGTGAAAAATTATACAAATAAAGTGATGGTCACTAAATTTTATTCTCTATTCACTGGATTAGCATGCATTTTCAAGAACCAGGACCATAAATATTCTCAGTGCAAACACAACATATGGTAGATCTGCTTGGCAGTCCATTTCTGACACTAGTTACAATCCAAAGAGAGAAATCGCTGGGCTTTTGCAAATCTCAGATTGGTTCTCCAAACTCTGATGTAATCCAAAGAGAACAAAAGTTTGTTCTGAACAAACAGTCTCTTGGGTTGCAGTAACATTCCAATCAGAGACAAACAGTCCTGAGCTGGGATAGTTGTTGTAAAGCAAGTGTGGAAATGGAGAAAAGGAACCAATTTTCTTTTCAAATTTTGGTGTACCAAACAATTCTAAAGTAATATTATTTGAGAATAGCCGTGACTAGGTAGGAAGGAATTGGATTTGGTGCTATTCCCAGATCTACGGGAGCCCACCTTACAAGAGAGTTTAGCAGTTAAAGAACAGAGCTGAGCCATTTCAGTACGTTAATATGATGATGAAACTGTGAAGAGTTCTTTAGATGTATCAGACACTGAATATCTTTTGAACCAGAGGATTAACAAACTGCTGGTGTTTAATATATATATAAAAAATGGTAAAACAGTATTTAAACCTGTCATAGAGGGAAGTGAACAGGAGAATCTGATCTGGGGAGAATCCTCTCTGGAGAAGAAGGTGAAAATTATTCTGATCGTTCCAAATGTAAATCTCGATTAAAAAGTACAATAAAAAATGACAGGTAAAGAAAAAAAAAAAACAGAAGGAAAACCCCTGCAAGGACTCTCTCAGCCAGAATGGACATTTGTATGTTTAAATCTAGAGAAGAACGTGGATATAACAAGCACTATTGACATTCAAAGGATGAAAAAAAAACCTAATGGTATACAGCTTTATCATGGTAGAAATGTTATAGGAAAGAGAGAAGAGACTGTTACTAAAGGGGTGTCATCTTACATGCTGAAAAAGCCATGTTCTCACATACACCTACACAATGCATGTTCGTGATAGGATGAAGCATAGGATTTTTACTTGGTCAAATCTTGTACCTTAGAACAGTTGATAAGGAGCCTCACAGTGACAGTCACTATCTATCTTTGGAGTCCCCAGAGACATTCCTTGAACATCAGTGTTGGGACCAGCAGCGAAGAAGAAGCTCTGTTGCTCTCCACATTTGTGCTTTTTGCAGTTGGCCTGATCCAGCTCAGTTTTGCTTTTGTTCTTACTATCATACACAACTGGCCTTATTAGAAATGTCAGATGAAACTGAAAAAAAAAACCCTTGTTCCCTTCTGGCAAATGTTTTGCCAACAGCCTGAAATTAGATTTAATTTTCACCAATTTCCTTTGTAGCACCCTTAGTCCAACTGTGCTCTAGTAGAGTTCCGAAGTTCAGAAAAAGGCTAGAAAACTGCGCCTTCCCCCATTCTACAAATAGAAATTCTCCATTCTCGGAGGGAAAGTAATTGTAATTGATTTCTGCGGCTGCTTTTGAAACGTTAGAGGAAAGGAACCAACTGGTTTGAGGCAGTTTTTCTCAGTGGCCAGACCAGTTTTCATTTTTACAAGACTATTTGGGAGTCCCAAAGAGATAAATGTGGATGGATTTCAGCTAGCATGTGAATTGTGAGTCAGTACCCTAGAAAATGTGAAACTGATTCTAAAACAATGTTTTAATTGTAAGCCAATTAAATGCTGCCATCTGGAAAAACAATCATTCTAACTGTTTAAAATTAACGTGACAGAAGAGTAGGGGGTGTATTTTGCTTTTGTGCCCCTCCTGTATTATTAGTTAATGGACTATTAGTTTTAAAAAAATAGAATATGTAGAATATTTATTTGACTGTGATCTGAATATTCCTAACATAATGCTAGTTAGGAATTTTCTGCCTTTCATCACACTTGTCCCCTCAAACATTAAGTACCTGATTTAACTGAAAGATATTTTCATGTAGTTCAAAAGGCTAATTGTGTATGGCATTCCCCTAAGTTATGGTTCATTGATTTGAACACTAGAATAACTTAAAAAAACCTGTTTTTCTGAGTATGTACAGTATATGAAAAAAATCAATAATTGTTGTTTAGTATATTGGACTTATTTACATCCCAAAATTAGAAAACTAATATACAAAAGGGCTTTGTGTATAAAGAAAAAGAATTAAAAAAAGAACACAAAGAAAATATTGTTCACTCTGATTTTTTTTTCATACATGCAAAGCCTTGATAATTTTCTTGGACAGTTATCACTGTCATATGCATTTACAATTTTTAAAAAAGTTAGTTTATGAAAACAGCCTTCCAGCATTTTCTCTCCAGATGTGTTGGAACTACAGGCCCCCAAAATCATCAGTGTTTGATTGTGCTGGCTGAAATTCTCTGAATGCCTGTTCAAAAACCTCTGGAGAGTGCCAGGTTAGGAGGGCTGTTTTAAGCTACACGAGCAACGATCCGCCTCAGTTTAATTTGATTGTTTATTAAATCTGTTCCAGGATGCGCATGTGCTTTCAAGTTGATTTGGATTCCTGGAACTGCCTGCATTAGTCCCTGCAGTTTTCGTGGCAAGGTTTTTCTGATGTAGTTTACCCTTGCCTTCTTCCTAAGGCTGAAAGAGAGTGACAGGCCCAAGATCACCCAGCTGGCTTTGTGCCTAAGGTGGCACTAGAACTCACGGTTTCCCAGTTTCTAGCTTGATGCCTTAATTACTACTACAAGCTGGATCCAGAATTTCATTGAGTCAGTTATGGGTACCTGCCTAGATACTATAGCACTGCTACTTTGTGAGCTAGATTGATTATTGGTTGAGTTCTGGGTGTGCTATAACAGGGGTTCCCAGCCACCGGTCTGTGGACCAGTACCGGGCTGCAGCATGCCAGCAACTGGGCTGCACAAACAAGCAAAGCCCCATCCACGGGATGCAGGCAGCACACAAAACTATGCCCCCTCCAGTCCGTGGAAAAACCTCTCTCCACATAACCGGTCCCTGGTGCCCAAAAGGTTGGGGACCTCTGCTCTATAAGGCTTGGGATCAGGGTATCTTCAGGATCATCTGCATTAGTGATTTCTGCCAATCCAATAAGATCTGGAAGGGAGGGTGACTCTCCTTCAGGTACCCACACTGACAAATTGTGGCCATTTTGCCTTGTTTTATGGATATGAAGTAATCATTTTTGGTAGATGTTTGCAGCAACTGAACAGAATGCATTTTCTTTGTTCTAGAAGTAATTTAATTTTAATTTAACAGAAAAATGGTGTGACATTATTCTTTGCAGTGATCCCATTCCAGTTTATTACCTGATTGCTTATGACCGCTACAAGAAATTAATTTTGCAATAGAGTTTATAGACAGATTTCAGCAGAAGATTCATCAGACAGAATTACCCTGGGGTGGGGTGGAATACTGACATTTGTAGAAATATATTTAATTAAAATGTAAAAACGCACACGATAAAAATGGTTATTCTTTATCAAATTTTAAACTTTAATCAGTTTTATCTCAAATTATCTGGAAAATGTACTTAGTCTATAAAACAAGCAATATTTTCACCTGAAAATGGAAAGGCAGTTACTATGGAAGACATATTATAGAAGCAACCTCATGCTTCCAACTTCTAATACAATTTCTCTCACCACTAATTGATACTAATAGGAGTTTTGGAAACCAAATCTAGAATACCATAGCCAAGCCACTGATCCCCAAAGCCTGCAAGGAAGAATTAGAAAATTATTCCTCCTTATTTCACTGAGTTTTATACAAGATGTTTACGAATGTAACTGTTCAACAGTTTTTTCCAAGGTAGATTATGAACTAGAGCATGTAAGTTTTCACTAATCAGATAAAGACAAATGGACCATTTGTATGATCCTTGACCAGTATCCGTAGCTGATTATAACATAGTCTTACTTATCAAGAATCAACTAAAAATTAGGAACATTCTGGATATCCAGTGAATAGGATTTTAGCTGAAACATTTGCCTCTTAAACGGACCTCAGTAAGATTGACCAAGTAATCCATAAAAATGAGATCTGCTTTACAATTAAAATAACATTCAGACCACACTGTCTGTTTACAAGATCTGTAAAAGACTGACCTAGTAACTATATCTCAGTCTATTTGATATGTATGAGGTGTTGAATATTTTATAATGTATATGCTTGTGTTCACTGTAAGCAGCAGCTTCAAAAGTTTGCATACGTGTGCACATATGCATGCACGCACACATAAAAATACCAGTAAATTATTTCTTACATAAACATGGAATAACTTCTAAAAGCTGTTTTGAAGACTTGTCTGACTGTTACTATTCCAGTTAATATTGTCATAATTTTTTCAAAGTGTATTTTTAGACTGAATCTTGAGACAGACAAATAATAAATGTGGATATTTCTTGTGAAGAACTAGAATCAGAAATTCTAAAAAAACTTTAACCAAAGGGGCCACATCTGTGAGCTATCAAAAATTCTCAGTGAAATGTAGGCATGTGCTCAGAACACATCAGATGTTACTAGAACATTATATTCTCCAAAAGGGAAGAGATAATGTATCAATATTGGACTTAGATGGAAGCTTAGCCATTATTCCATATGTTGTATCTGGCTCAAAATTAATCTTGGCTAAATACCACTGAACGCTAATTATCAGGTAGGACTAAATCCAACTGGCTTGCTTTCCTAAAGAGATATGATGTGCACAGAAAGATGGTAAGGTTTTAAGAACATCCTTAAGAATTATTAAAGCTAATGTGTCTACATAGCTCATTTCTAAAAACCATCATGAGATTTGTCTATGCCTGTATTTATTTCCATAAATCTAGAATGACACAGAGTATTTGAATAGGTTTCAGATTAAAGCACCAAACTAATCAGTACCTCTGTTTATTATTACAAATGTGCTATCCAGCATGAACATTAGATGGAATTCTGGCTGAAGTTGAGCACTTCAAGAGTAGGAGTTGTATCCTATGGTAGGGGTCCCCAATATGTGGGCCGCAACCTGCTACCAGACCGTGGCCTATTGGCTACCGGGCCGCGTGAGTGGCTGGCCGGTGCATGCCTGTGTGCACGTGCACAGCCCCACTCGTGTGAGTGTTGCAAGCGTCGCGAGCATTTGCAGCCTCATTTGTGTGAGTGTCACGGGAATGAGTGTTGCGGGCAAGCATCGCAGGTGATTGCGGCCCCACTTGTGTGAACACCGTGTTCATGCACAAGTACACGTTCACCCCCCACAAAACCATCACTTCTTTCCCCATCCCCCCCGCTCAGGGCCACCAACCCGGAAAGGTTGAGGAACTCTGTCCTATGGGATAATTGGGCATGATTGTAATTGATATGATCTATAGATATGATCTATAGAACTTGAAATATTTTTTAATAGCCATTGGAATTTGTGAGATGTAAAAGTCAGTTTCCTTTGCAAATTTCCTCAAAAAGAAATCCCATAATATTCAGTGGAATTTCTGCCAAAATAAGTATGCATAAAGTTGTTGCCTTAAAAGTACATGTGCAATTCTACTGTCATCAATAAATGTCAGAAGTGCAGTTTTTAGGATCAATAATACCAGGCCAATATAATCTACCTTCATGAAAACAATGGTCATTTTTACCATTGATTTTAAATAAGAGCTGGGATTATGCTAGATTTCAGGGGCTGATATTTAACTTGGGAGAAATTTAATGTGATCATGTATTATTTGAAGTGAACAATGTCGGTTTTCAAATATATTTCTTCCTCTGAGTTCAGCCAGTCCAATCTCATTTCTCTTTTTGAACATCTGATTGAAATGCACATAGCATATCTGATAATGTTGTGTAAGAATGCATCTAAGCTAAACTGCACTCTCACTGTACCTGTGGGGGGGGGATGGGTGGAGAAGTGGTGGTTTGAAGAGTCACAATGGTGGCTGTAATCATGTTATTGGAGCCCCGCCCCCTTTTTACATGTATTATACACACAATGTGGGAATGACTTTTACAGGTAGTCCTTGACTTAACAGCAGTTCATTTAGAGAGCATTCAAAGTTACAACGGCACTGAAAAAAAGTGACTTAGGATCGTTTTTCCCACTTACGACCTTTGTAGCATCCCCATGATCACGTGATCAAAATTCAGACGCTTGGCAACTGACTCATACTTACGACCATTCCTGCGTCCGCAGGTCATGTGATCACCTTTCACATCCCTTTTGACAAGCAAAATTGACGGGGAAGCCAGGTTCACATAACAACTGTGTGTTACTAACTTATCAACTGTGGTGATTCATTTGACAACTGTGGCAAGAGAGGTCATAAAATGGGGCAAAACTCCCTTAACAAATGCCTCACTTAACGGAAACTTTGGGCTCAGTCGTGATCATAAGTTGACAACTACCTGTATTACAGGTAGTCTTTGACTTGTAACCACAGTGTAAACCAAATTTTTCATTGCTAAGCAGGGCATTTGCTAAGTGAGATTTGCCCCATTTTACGTCGTTTTTTGCCACAGCTGTTAAGCAAATTAGTGCAGTTGTTAAGTGAATCATGCAGTCATTAAGTGATTCTGGTTTCCTTAATTGACTTTGTTTGTCAGAAGCTGGCTGGGGAGGTCACAAATGGTGCTCCTATGACCCTGGGACAGGACAACTGCCATAAATACATGCCAGTTGCCAACACCCAAACTGTGATCATGTGACCATGGGGATGCTGCAGCGGTTATGTGAAAATCGGTCATAAGTAACTTTTTTCAGTGCTGTTGTAACTTCAGTCACTAAACAAATGGTTGTCAGATGAGGCCTACCTGAACACAGTCATAGATGCCAAGAAGATTTTTTTTTGACTCCCTTGTAAAAGACAAGGAAAAAGAAGAAAAATCATTTAAGATTTCTCCAGATTTTTAACAATTCATAAACACAATTTAGTCCATTGAACCTTGACACTGATCCAGAATCTGGTTGCTGTTTTTATAATTTTAAAATGTGGGACACACAGAGAGAGATAAAGAGGCCCAATATATACATACACCCTTTGGTCCCTGACTTGCATGACATTCCTACTTTTTAAATGTTTAGAAGGATGCTACTCATAGACCATCAGGCATATTTTCTGTTGTTAAATGACCTTTCTTGCCCACAGTTGTTAAGTGAATCACTGCAGTTGATAAGTTAGTAACAAGGTTGTTAAGTGGATTTGGCTTCCCCGTTGATTTTGCT